AAAACCTTTTTTGTTTTTGACTTTTTACAACATTGGTCTTACATAATTTTTGTCCTTTTGTGATTGTCTCAGCATAATGTCCTCTAGGCTCAACCATGTTATGAGGTGTTTCACAGAATCATCATCATTATATAACATTTTATAGTATTCCATTGCGTGTAGGTATCCAAGTTTTGTTTAGTCATTGTGTTGTTAATGGGCATTTAGGCTGTCTCCATCTTTTTGATGTGTCTCTTGTAGACAGTGTATCCAAAGATCCTGTTTTCTGGTCCATTCTACTCTCTATGTCTCTCACCCCAGCCCCCTCATTCTGCAACTAAGCACATTCATGCAAGCTTGTAAGCCAGCCACTTCATGCATTTGTAACCACTGGCTCCCCTCCCCCATTTTTGATAGCCAATGTCTAAATTTCTCATCCCTATCAATCCAGTATACCAACGAAACAAGGTTGTTACTTAATATGAAGAATCCTTCTATTCTGGTTGGAATTTTAAGTCACTGCATTCATAGGAAAAGTCTAATTCATCAAATTGTAGCAATTTGCACTTGTTCTCCATATCAAACATCTTTATCTTTCTTGGTTTGAGTTCTGGTCAACTAGCTATCCAAGCTAGGTCATATGGGTACTAGCTGCAGGTCTGGAAGTTCAAAAAGTACTTTTAATGAGTTAAAGAGGTCCTTGTTGTTGTTATGTTGTTAAGTGCCATCTAGTCGGTTCCAATTCATAGCATTCAATCTTCACGGGAGCAGACAGCTTCATCTTTCTTCTGCTGAGCAGCTGCCATGCTCAAACCACAGACCTTTGTGGTTCACAGTCCAGTGTTTATCATATGGAGCCACCACACTCCCCAAAGAGGTCCTAAGGTGGTCTAGATTGTTTAGTAAGAGCACTGTTGTGTTGCTGTAGGATAAGCACTGGACTGGTAACCACAGGTCGACAGTTCAAACCCACCAGTCACTCTCAGAAACCAAGATATGAGTTGGAACTGATTCGATGACATGCAACAAGAGTAGAACTAGGGAGTTACTGAGAGAACTTATTTTCAACCATCCCTTGATCTCAGAGACAAGTTTATACACATTTTATTTGTTATAAATTTGTGTCTGTATGAACTGAAACTTGAGTAGCAATACTTTTTGACTTCCTCTCTTATTAGGGCCAGCCACCAAACATCACTGCAGCGGAAATGTGTACTTCACCGAATGCTGAGGGTCAGGGGGCTGGTGTTACTGAATGCAGAGATGGTGGACAGGTGGGGTGCCTGCTCAGGCAGATTAACAAAAAAGAAGGGACGACAGAAAGAGAAAAGGGAAAAATACAAGGGGGTGTGGAGAGGGAAGAGCTGAGAAGAAAGGATTAAAAAAAAACACACAAAAAACTCCAGAAATATTGGCGCAAGTGTTAGCTGCAGTGATAACACGGTGTTCACTCTGAGGGTGTCGACTGCAGTCCTTGGAAGGGCAGGAGCAGCAGGTGGGGGTTTGTTTTGAGGAGAGTCAGTGTTGCTCTTTTTGTTGTTGTTAAGTGCCATCGAGTTGGTTCCAACTCATAGTGACTCTGTATAGTGTTTCTGAGGAGCGGCTGGGTGAGCTTGAACCACCCACCTTCTGGGTCAAACTGATTTTGTAGTCTCCAGTGCATTAGCCCATAGCACCACACCAGGACTCCAGTGTTGCTCTGGGTGATCCAAAAAAAGGAAGTGGAAAGGAAGAGAAAAAGAAAAGAAAAACAAGCAGGGTCAATAAGAGAGAAGAAGGAAAAAAGAAAAACAAAAAACATTTAAAAATAAGAAAAGCAGTACAGTACAGAAAACAAAAATCCTCACCACTGGACCAATAAACAACATTCTTATCAATGGAGAAAAGATTGAAGTTGTCAAGGCCTTCATTCTTCTTGGATCAACTATCAACACTCAAAGAAGCAGCAGTCAAGAGATCAAACGACGTATTGCATTAGGCAAATCTGCTGCACAAGACCTTTTTAAAGTATTGAAGAGCAAAGATGTCAGCTTGAGGACTAAGGTGCGCCTGATCCAAGCCATGGTATTTTCAATAACCTCATATGCATGCAAAAGCTGGACAATGAATAAGGAAGACCATAGGAGAATTGATGCTTTTGAGTTATGGTTTTGGAGGAGAATATTGAAAGTGCCATGGGCTGTCAAAAGAACCAACAGATCCATGTTGGAAGAAATACAGCCAAGAGTGCTCCTTGGAGGCCAAGATGGCCAAACTTTGTCTCTCATACTTTGGACATATTGTTAGGAGGGACCAGTCGCTGGAGAAGGATATCATGTTTGGTAAGGTAGAGTGTCAGAGAAAAAGAGGAAGACCCCCAACGAGATGGATTGGCAAAATGTCAGCATCAGTGTATTAAAGCGTGGCAACGATAGTGAGGTTGGCCCAGGACCAGGCAGTGTTTCGTTCTGTTGTACATAGGGTCGCTATGAGTCGGTACCGACTCGATGGCACTTAACAACAACAACTGGGGAAAAGTGTTTGCCACCAATCATGGATGCTCAGAAACTCAGCTGTTGGTTTGGGAACATGCATATCTCACATCTGACTTGGGAGAGGCAGCATGGGTGCTGCTAACTGCGTGGGCATGGTAGGGAGGGGCACCTACGCCACATGATTGGTGGTTATGTGCCGTGGAGTCAGTTCTGACTCATAGTGACCCTGCATAGGGCTTCTGAGGCTGTAAATCTTTCTGGGAGCAGAACGCCTCATCTTTCTCCCACAGAACAGCTGGTAGTTTCAATCTGCTGACCTTGAGGTTAGTTGCCCGATTTGTAACCAGTACTCTACCAGAGTTCCTTTATTCCATGTGATTGGAAAAAGAAAAAGAGACAGACAAGGGATTAAAAAAAGAAAAGAAAAATGGGAGAATGGGTCATGGGGAGAGGGAAGAACTAAGACGAAAGATAAAAGAACAAGTCACCTAGTAATGGCAGTAGGAGCTGGTTTGATCAGTTGCCTGGTGTGTGCGGGTGAGGGTACTTGTCTCTAGTCACCTGGAAGTTGTGCAAGGTAAGGGCAGAGGTCACACCTCTCTGGTCACCTATTGCTGATGTGGTGTTGGTGTAGTTCTGGGCCAGTGGAGCTGATTATTTGATTCCTGCACCAGTTGGAATGCTGCTTGCAGTAATTAAAAATGGCCATGCTTGTACCAATTCACAGTTTAGTGCTCCTTGTTCACTGTTTTTATTTAGTGTCCTCTTATTGGTATTTGATTTATTTTTCCTTTTCTTTGAAACTTTGGGCTTCATGATAGTCATCTGTATTCTTTTCACTTGGTTCCTCAAGTCTTTGTTATAAAGGATTTGGATAATGTCTCTGCCTAGTCCACCATCTTGGAGTCTCTACCTATTATCTTCTTGAATGAAGATCGGCTTCTGAGTCTACAACTGTATGATTTGGCTAATGGGGCTGGAATGAAGTTGCATCATTGGAGACAGATTTATTTATTATTGTTAAGGAGGTAGATAGTCCAAATCACTGGTTTCCAAGTCTATCTGTGGACTGGGACCATATTGGGTATATCAGAATCACCTTAATCTGATCGACTCAATCTAGGTTGATGCCAGGAATCTGTGTTTTAAAAAGTTGTTTGGGTGTTTGATAACCACTGGCCACAGAGCTTGAGTTAAGGAATGGCCATCTTTGTTTTGAAGCAAACTCCTAAACTCCTTTTATAAATTCCTTTTATGTTCTTTCTGACCTGGTCTGTGCTCCCTAGGAGTCTCCCAGAACAAGCCAGCCAGAGGAGAAGAAAGATGCTTCCCTTGATTCCAATGCTGCTGGTCCTCCTACTCCTGGCAAGCTCTTCAGCCATGGTACAGACAGTAGCCAGAGCAGTGCTGATGGCCGAGTGCAACAGGAAAGAGGGGCAGGCTCTGGGCTCCCAGGAAAAGAACAGCATGAGAAGAGAGATTCTGGGGCTTCCAGAAGTCAGGTGATCCCCAAGGCAGAGCCAGCAGGTGATCAGCCCACCAAAACCTCTGAAAAAGAGGTACCCACAGACCCGGTGGAAACAAAAGAGGAGGACATCAAGAAGGAAGAGACAGTGAAGGAGCCAAAAAGGGAGGCTTCTGCCCCGAGACAGAGTGTATCAGATGCCAGTGAAGTAAGTTACTTTTTTCTGTAGGAAGTTGCTGATTGCAACCCTGTGCTCTTTATTTTAAGCTTTGTTCCCTAGCCCCACATCTTTACTATTGAGTCAGAAGCTTCATTTCCAGGCCCTGCAATGGGCTGACAACATCAGCCAGAACTCTTAATTGTGACAGATGTGCCCAGATCCAGCAGGACAGTAAAATCCTGAATGAAACTCCAAAGCTGGCACTAGAAATTCAGAGCAGTAGTGTGCTTTTCCACAAGGACCCCGCTGGGATATTAATGTTCTTTTATCCTACTATTTCCTCTTCCCCTGTCCTGTCTCCCTTTTGTGCTTCCTGACATTAGGTGGAGTCAGTTCTGGTTGCAGCAGTCTGTCCTGGAGAGAGAGAACATTGTGAGGGAGAGGGTAACAGAGTTGGGAGTGTAGGTAGGTTAGGTGACAAGAAGACTCTGCTCGTTGATGGTTGTGGCTCTCTCTGAACCAACCCAAGACATGAGAGTAGTTGCTTTAGCAAAACCACTCTAGTGACATAAATGGACAGAAGTATGTCCAATCCTTTGTCTTTTGGGGATTTTCTAACCCTTAGCTGTAGGTAGATGGCAAGGTAATTAAAAGAAATTTGATCTATTTTCTAGAGAAGATAGTTATTCCATTTTTAGGACAGGGTCAGACTTCAAAGTGCCAACTGTCTTGCCCTCCCACTGTACTTGGCCCTCCTTTAGATGGCTCCATCCGTGCTGACCTGCTTCAGAGTGTGGCTGTCCACTCTTGGTGGGCTGCCCAGCCCAAGGGCATGGGGGTTGGTGCATGTGTCCAGAGAGGATGGGAGGGTCCACAGATTGTCCTCACAAGAAGTAGGTTTCTGTTTGGCCTGAGCCCTGTGCTGATGCCCTGGCCTGCACAACATTCCCTGGACAATCCCCTTGTTTTTGCTGCAGGGCTCCTGGCCCCCTGTCATGTGCTCTCTGCAGAGCAGTGTGATGTTGTGATGTCTATCTGTGCCTGTTTCCCCAGGAGTCAGACATCAGCGAACATGTGAAGGAGCCGCTGCTCTCAGACTCTGCTGCTTCCGACCCCAAGTCTTTCCTTGACCTGGTGAGTTTGAGATGAGGTAGCGGAGGGTGATGACAAGCAGAAGAGATTTGAATCCCTGTGGGCAAGTGATTTGCCTCAGAGCACATAGCTAGTAAGTGGGGGAGTTAGGATTAGAACTTGTGTATAGCATCAGTTTCTCCACCCTTAAATAAGGATAATGCTACCTACTCTATGGTTTTGTTGCAGGAGGAAAGTGAAGGAAAGAAGGTAAAATATTAACATAAACTAACATAAATAACATAAAACATTAGATAAATGCTAACGCTTTTTGAACTGTAAGGTCAGCGGTTTGAACTTACCAGCTCAGCTGTTCCTCGGAAACCCTATACAGGGTTGCTATGAGTCAGAACCGATTTGTAGGAACTTAACAACAACAGCAACATTGTGTTAATTGTCTGTGAGATCATGTAAATTGCCTCTGGGCACTAGCTAAGCATTACTTTGACCTTGTTGTTATTGTTAGGTGCCATGGAGTAGGCACCGACTAATAGCGACCTTATGCACAGCAGAACGAAACACTGCCCATCCAGGGTCAACCTCACTACTATTGCCATGCTTGAGTCTATCAATCCTGCCACTTGGCTAGTCCATCTCGTTGGGGGTCTTCCTTTTTCTGTCTGACCCTTCACCTTACCAAACATGATATCCTTTTCCAGTGACTGGTACCTCCTGACAATATGTCCGAAGTATGAGAGACGAGACACAGTTTGGCCATCCTGGCCACCAAGGAGCACTCTGGCTGCACTTCTTCCCAAACTAGGAGGGTAGAAACTGGGGTGTGTGTGTGTGTGTGTGTGTGTGTG